ATTATTCTGTTTCTGCTCTATTCACAATAGCCCGGAGATAGAATCCATACAGATATTCACCAATAAATGAATGTTTTTAAAATGTAGTACAAATATAAATTAGAATTTTATGGCGCTGTAATAAAAATGAAATCAGAACATTTATAGGAAAATAAATGAAACTGGAAATCATTATGCTTTGTGAAATAAGTCCGAGACATAATTTCCTCTCATACAAGGAATTTATATAGGAAGTCCGTGTACATATGTGAGTGTGGATGTTAACCAGTAACTCAAGCAGATGCCCCAAATTTTCACCAGTATATTTGCTGTAAGTCCATGGCTCCTTTTGTTACACTTGCCCCTTCTTGTATTCTAGTTCTGAAACAAGCATACACACATGTATGTTGGGGGGGTGGGCTATGAAACTAGAGGAGGATCATAAGATGAGTCAGAGATGTCTTAAGGGGAAATTGGAAAAGAGGGCAACAGAACACATATGGCATGAAAGGAGGAGGGCAGAGAAAGTGAAGGAAGGAAAAACACAAACAACAACAACAACAACAACAAAAAACCAGCCAGAGGGTTATAGGAGCCACAGGGAATGGCAATGTGAGAAAGTAGTGAATTAGAACAAAGTAAAATGACACATATATGAAAAAAAAACATAAAAAACCTCATTGCTTTGTATGCTAACCTAAAAAAATTCCTTACAGGATTATTTAAAACCGTAATGAGATACCATATTCTACCTAATGGAATAGCTAATCATTTTAAATTGATAATAACACATGTTGATAAAATCACCTGAAACACTTAGAATATGCCATTAAAATATAAAATAGTATCACATTGGAAATGTTTTAGCTTTATAAAATTAAGGGAATATTTGCAATGTATGAAATGCATATAACCTAGCTTTTCTAATCTTAGATATTTATCCAAGGAAAAATAAAAATTTATGTTCTCATCAAACTTTATGGTGGAATATTCACAGGAGCCTTACTTATAATAATTTATAACTGGGAGCAACACAGGTATACTTGAATTAGTGAAAAAGTAAAAAAGATCGACTACATGCATCATTCATGAATGGTATCAAAGGCATTATGCTAAGTGAAAGAAGGCAAAGACAAAAGATCCTATTGTTTGATTCCATTCATATTACATTCTAGAAAAAGCAGAAGTATGATTATGAAAAACAAATCAATGTTTAGAGATAGCAGGTATTAAAATAGAAATGAAGGAAAGATCTCCAGTATAGTGAAAGAAATAAAATATTCTATTTCTTGATTATAATGGTAGTTATATAACTACATGCAATTTCCAAAAAAAAAAAAAAAAATCCTTGCTTGGACTCTCCTTGTTACTTAGCTTCTTTGGGTCTGTGGATTGAGGTATGGTTAGCTTGTACCATATGGATCCACTTATGAGAGGAAGGATGCTTGAATCCCACTCAGGAGGAGAAATAGAATAGACATGGGAAATAGATGAAGAGAGGGAACTGGGTGGGAGAGGGTATGGGGAGGGGAACTAGAATCAGGATCCAGATATGGGGAGGGCAGGGGTCAGAGGTGGAAAGGACTGGGAGAGAGAAGGAAAAATCGAGCAGGGGAGGACATCTATGTGACAAGCTGGAGACTTGCATAGGGTAAGCTCCTGAGAGGATATGGAAGTGACTCTAATTGAGACTCCTAGTTGCAGGGGACATGGAGACTGAAGTAAGCACCTCCTAGCCAGGCAGGACTTTCAGTGGAGGTGGATACCAACCCACCCACAAAACCTTTGACTAGAAAATTTACCCTGCCCCCACGATGTGCAGAGAAAAAGATGAAGCAGAGATTAAGGGAATGGCCAACCAATAAGTAGTCCAACTTTGATAACTACCCCAAGGTAGACAGCCAACCCTTGTCACTATTAACGACACATAGGAATTTTTTTCCTGACACAACTACATCACTCACAACAATGAATGCGATCAACAGTTTTGTGCATGATCATTTTAGATCTCTCAGAATGTTTCTTGGCTAACATTTTTGGGAATAAAACTAATAGATTACAAACATGTTTAATATTTATAAAACTACTCAAGTACCATGTGAAATGGCTTTGCAAAAAGAGTTATCACAACAGGCCTGAGAGTGCTTAGAATCTACTTGAAAAATATGCCCTTCACAAACATTGTAGAACTTGAATATCAAGAGGGATCTCAACAGTGCCATGGTTACAATACTTCATTGTGCCTAGTCAGCAGAAACAAGATGGTTTATATCAAATGTTTGCTATATAAATGGTACTGTGTATTCAATCTCTCATGGAACCTTGGACACAGAATCTTTAGTTTCTCTGACAGACATTTCTTGTTCATCTTTTTTGTAATTAATTTATTTTTATCGATTACAATTTTGTTCACTTTGTATCCCAGCTCCCTCCCTCATCCTCTGCCAATCCTACCCTCCCTCCCTCTTCTCCACCCATGCCCCTCCCCAAGTCCACTGATAGGGGAAGCCCTCCTCCCCTTTCCTCTGACCCTAGCATATCAGGTCTTATCAGGACTGGCTGCATTGTCTTCTGCTGTGGTCTGGTAAGGCTCCCCCCCTCAGGGGGAGGTGATCAAAGAACCAGCCACTGAGTTCATGTCAGAGACAGACGCTATTCACATTACTAGGGAAACCACTTGGATACTGAGATGCCATGGACTACATCTGTGCAGGGATTCTAGGTTATCTCCATGCATGGTCCTTGTTTGGAGCATCCATCTCAGAAAAGACTGCTTTGTCCAGATTTTTTGGTTCTGTTGCTCTCCCTGTGGAGTTCCTAACACCTCCAGGGGTTTCTGTCTCCCCCTTCTTTCATAAGATTCCTTGCACTCTGCCCAAAGTTTGGCTATGAGCCTCAGCATCTGCTGGGTAGAGTCTTTCAGAAGCCCTCTGTGGTAGGTCCCTATCCTGTTCCCTGTTTTCTCCCTCTTCTGATGTCCATCCCATTTGTCTTTCTGAGTGAGGAATGCTCATCTTATCCAGGGTCCTCCTTCTTGCTTAGCTTATTTTTTTTAATCCTTTATTAATTATACTTTATTCACTTTGTATCCCCCTGTGGTTCCCTCCCTCCTCCTGTCCCAATCCCTTCCTTCCTCCACCCTCTGCACACATGCCACTCCCCGAGTCCTTGCTTAGCTTCTTTAGGCGTGCAGATTTTAGCATGTTTATCCTATATTATATTTCTAATATCCACTTGTAAGTGAATATATACCATGTGTGTCTTTCTGTTTGTGGGATACCTCACTCAGGATGATCTTTTATAGTTCCCACCATTTTCATGTAAATTTCATTATCTCCTTGTTTTTAATTGCTGAGTAGTATTTCATTGTGTAAATGTACCACAATTTTTGTATCCATTCCTCAATTGAGGGACATCTGGGTTGTTTCCAGATTCTGGCTATTATGAATAAAGCTGCTATGAACATGGATGAGCAAATGTCTTTGTTGTATACTTGAGCATATTTTGAATATATGACTAGGAGTGGTATAGCTGGATCTTGAGGTAGCACTATTCCTAATTGTCTGAGAAAGCTCCAGATTGATTTCCAACGAAGCTGTACAAGTTTACATGCCCACCAGCAATGGAGGAGGGTTCTCCTTTCTCCACATCCTCTCCAGCATGTATTATCACTTAAGTTTTTGATCTTAGCCATTCTGATGGGTGTAAAGTGAAATCTCAGGTCGTTTTGATTTGTATTTCCCTGATGAGTAAGGACATTGAGCATTTCTTTAAGTGTTTCTCTGCCATTCAATATTCTTCTATTGAGAGTTCTGTTTAGCTCTGCACCTCATTTTTTAATTGGATTACCTGATTTTTTGCTGTTTAACTTCTTGAGTTCTTTAAATATTCTGGATATTAGCCCTCTGTCTGATAAGACTTTTCACATGACTCTTAGAACCTTTTTCAAGGTGTTCTCTTTTTCCTTTTTTTTCTTTTGATTGTTTTAGTTGTTTCATTATAACTAAGCATAGCTGTGGATAGGCTACATATTAAACCATGTCAAATTTCTTAGGAAATTACTGAAATCACTGAACATAAGTGTTGTCTAAAAGACCCCTTCACACACTTATAAACAAAGCAAGCCACCTCCTATATCCTGAATTTTGATACACGTATATATTTTATGTTACAGGGCTGGAAAGATGGATTAGCAGTTCAAAGCAAAAGCTGCTCTTCCAGAGGACCCAGATTCAATTCCTAGCACCCACATAGAGCCTCAAAACCATGTGCAACTCCAGGATGAGAAGCCCTCTTTTGGCCAATTTGGGCACTGCACACAAATAGAGTACGGAGATATACATGAAAGTAAGACATGTATGCACATAAAATAATAAAATAAATTTAAAATACTTTATAAAAATTAGATATAATTTTTATGACAGATACACAAAAGAGAGAACCACAAAGTTATTGCTATAAATTTTTCTCATATTCCACATGAAGCTGTTGAAGTTCAAATAGGGTAATGGACAGAGCTGAAATTAGCCAGTAACCTCAGGCTCAAGTCCCAAATCCTCACTAGTTTGTTTATTTTAGGCTCATGGCTACTTTTGTTAAACTTGCCATTTCTCATACTCTAGTTCTGATCCTTCAATACCTTTCAGAAACTACTTTTTTGAAACCTATGCCTTCTCTTATTTCTCCAATTATACAGTGAATATATTGAATTCCTCCCCAAATATTTTGAGTTTGATAGAAGCTAAACCCAACACGAAAGGAAAAGCAAAGTTAGAAAAATAAAATCCCTAACCCAAAAAAATTGGGGAGAGAAGTGATTAGCAAAGAATAGCAAAGAAAAACAATCCTAAACAAATTATAAATCTTCCTAACCTGATTAAATATGAAGGGTCAAAAATCAGAATCATATAAAAACTCATCCCCCATTCCAGTACATCACAGCTGGCTAGAACCAGAAAGCACACATGGTTTTCTATTGTTTCCTAATATTTCTTTAGAACTGAAGAAAGAAAAATGCTTACGTGCTCTAGGAAGCAGGGTCCTATCTCACTGAGGTGGGGATCATCATTGTTGTACTGCTTCTCCAGGTCTCTCACGAAGCCCATCTGAAATCTGTAGATGTCTTCAATATTCCCAAAGATGACCTTCAGTTGCTCATCGCTGAACATGTCTCTTCTCTTTCGGCACTGCTTCAGGTACCCCTGCAGACAAATGAAAAAGCTCTGGGTGAAGATGTCCCTCCTACTGCTTCCTAAGCATGTGTGAATCCTTTCAGTTCCATGAAGTAAGCAGGTAATTCTTATTTTCAGTTTTCATAAGGGGACATGGAGTTCGAGTGAAGGAAGTTAGTACACTAGTAAGTCTTCAGAGAGTGATTACTCCAGAATGCTTGTTTTCCCACTGTTTGTACAAAAAATAAATAAATAAATAAAAAATAACCCAAAACTCGAAGGGCCATTTCCCAGAGCCTAGACTGTTCTCAGCATTAACTGTATTAAGAATTTTAAAGAAGGGGCTTGAGGGGTGGCTCAGACATTAAGAACACTGGCTTCTCTTCCAGAGGTCCTGAGTTCAATTCCCAGTAACCACATGGTGGATCATAACCATCTATAATGAGATCTGGTGCCCTCTTCTGGTATGCAGGAATGCATGTAGTCAGAACCCTGTATATATAATAAATTAAGTAATTAAAAAAAGAATTTTAGAGAAGATGGAAATATAGTTCAGCAGCAAAGCAATTGTCTAGAATACACAAGATCCAGGTTCAATTTCTAATACCAAAAGGTATTGATTAAAAAAAAAAATAGAATACCAGCTAAAGCAACAGTTACTAAAATTAAAAAATAAAAACAAAACATTTGTTCAAGATTCTAGTAACTGAGGTCAGAACACAAAAAGCACCAATAAAGAGACAAAAATTTAGAAAACAAACCTTGTTTTCTTAATATTTTGAGAAAAGGGCTGGCCTTGAATTCATAACCTTTTTGCTTCACATTCACAAGGACTTGATACGTCACAACATGCCACTATATCTGGCTGCAAACTATTGTTTTTTAAAATTTCTCTGCTTTCCAAGGGAAAGAGTATAGATGATCTCAGCTACTAAATCAAAGAGTAACTGAACATTGTATCTGAAACATATACTGACAAATTCTTCCAAGATGCCATTGATAAAAGGAGAACTGACAAGAGAAATTAATTGCCTGATGAGAAATCACTAACACAATGGTGACAAAAATATTCAGCCTAGACAGCACACTTCTTAGATTCCAATTCAGAAAATAATTAACGGCTATGTCCATTCTTCCCACTTGAAAGGTTAAAGAATGATCCAAACATCACACAATATCCATAATGCAGCAAGGATGCTAGAGATAAAAACCAGTATAGAAAGTAATGACTATAAAAGAGAATAAAAAGAATTGTCAGTGAGGCTTCCCAATTGTTCAAATGTATTCATTATCACTGTGAAGGAATTTGTTTCTTTTCTATTATGTATGTTGAAATTTAACTATATGTTAAGAGGAATGTAGGGTGGTAGAATGCATTCTTAGAACTAATGGTAGAGAATAAATACACATTCAATTTAACGGGATCAAAGCCATTAAAGTGATTGAAACATACTTAAGAAACATGGAAGAGGTTTATGATATAATGTCAAATACAGGATATGAAGGATGTATCAATATGATCAAAATTTTATACATGCATATACCTTAATTTTTCTTGAAAATAGATTTTCCCTCATATAATAAATTCTGATTTTGGCTTCCCTCCTCCTACTCCTCCCAGTTCCTCCCACCACTCCTCCTACCCAGATTCACCCCATTTCTGACTCTCATATTAGAAAACACAAGCATCTAAGAGATAATAATAAAATAAAATATAAGAAAACTAAGACAAAAACTAAGACATCAGAATAGGACGATACAAACAAACAGAAGGAAAAAAGCTCAAGAAAAGGCACAAGAAAAAGATATAGAAGCAGAGACCCATTCATTACCACATTAAGGAATCCCATAAAACAACAAAACCAGAAGCCATACTATATACAGAAAGGACCTGTAGTGTAAAAAAAGAGAATATATGTTTTCAATTTCTAATACCAAATTGTTCATTTTATATATAATATATAAAACAAATATATGTAAATATATTATATAATATATATGTGTAAATATATAATATTATAAATATATAATATAATGGATCTATGTAAATATATTACATATTTACATATATCATATAGTATATATTTATAATAAATAGAAAATAAGTTTTAAAAGAAGCCCTGATATATCAGTATGAGATAAGAAACCACCAAAGATGGCAAAGATTTTGTTTTCTATTGGCCACCTACTACTGAGCATGTGTCCTACCCTTTTAAGTAGTTTGTTTCCCCTGTGAGACTAATCTGGATAAAACTAAATTTTCATTTTCAAGTAGTTATCATTTGGACATAGCTTTTGAGTTAAGGATGAGGGCATGTGTCTACTGTCCTTTCTGCTCTATGACCCCATCTTGTATAGACCCATGCAGGCCCTGTGTGTGATACCTCAGTCTGTAATCATATTTATGTCTATCCTGTTGATTTAGAGGGACAAGTTTTCTTGGTGTCTATGTCTTTGGCTCTTATACTCTGCTGGCCTCTTCAACAGGGTTTCCTAAGCCCTTAGCAGAGGGATTTCATAGAGACAACCTGTTTAGGGCTTAGTGTTCAAGATCTCTTACTCTCTGCATAGTAATGTCCGGCTGTGGGTCCCTGCATTACTTTCAATCTGCTGCAGGAGGAAGCTTCTCTGATGATGACTGACCAAGGCACTAATCTATGAGCACAGCACAGTGTAATTAAAAGTCATTTTATTGCTATCTTCTTTTCATAGAACAGTAGTATTTGGTTTGACCCCAGAACTCTGGGGAATCTACTTTTAGGTTTTTAATTACCTGAACTGATTTGAGTATGGGTTTCATGGGAGTATGCATGGGACAGACATAGGCGCCAGCACATACATAACAGTTGTGCAGCTGGGTCTTCATATGGTACTCTTAAAGAGAAAGCATGGGCTGTCTCTTACTACAATGCCTGCCTTTGGATCCCTTCCTGAAACTGGGCTGCCTCTTCTATTATCACTGAAGAAGATGTACCTAGTCTCTTACTGCAACTTCATATGTCAAGGCTGGTTGGTATCCATGGGAGGCCTCCCCTTTTCTGAAGATGGAGGATGAGGTGAGAGGGAGGGACTGGAAGGAGGGGAGGGAGAGGGATGTAAAATAAATAAATATCATAATTAATTAAAAAAAAAGAATGTAGGAGGGAGAAGAAAGGCCAAAAGAGACAATTATCTTTCTTATTTTGGCTGCCTATTAGCCATCAAATTTTATATATTAGTGGATATAATATATAGTATAATGTATAACATGTAATGTATAATATACAGTATAATATAATTATAAAAATATAATGCATTAGATAACAGATATTATATAAAATATAATATAGTATGTATTTTATATATAATATATTAGATCCACTAATACATAAATTATATAGATAGTGTCTCCTCAGTTACACATTTTTGAAAGTATGCTTATTTAAGATGAGTTTGTCCTGCAATATAATGGCTCAAAACATAAATGCTATCTTAAGCTTGAAAAAGAATGAGGTAAACAGAAGAAAGAGGTAATTGGAGATCAGTACCATGACTGGGAGAGCAGCATTCAGTTCTGAGAAACCCATTCAGAGGAACAGCAGACAGGAACACATAAGAGATACTCTACAGCCTAGGGTTTTATATGTTGGTAGAGTGCTTGCCTAACATGCTAAAGGCTCTGGTTTTGATCCTGACCACCAAGTAAACTGGGAATGGTGTTATATGCCACTCCCAGAACTTGGGAGGTGGAGGCCAGAAGACAAACTTCAAGGCCAGCTAGGCTATAAGAAATACTGTCTTAAAAATAAAAATGATTACCAGAGAGTATTATTGAATTGTTTAGAGTGAAAGATAATTGATGTCTCATATAACAAGACATCACTCCTAAAAGACACTGAGTACCTTGAAATCTCAAAGTTCTAATTTTTACTTCTGAAATTAATAAGGATAAGGAATACTCTTTTGAGAAATCTCTTAGCTGTTTTTATTTCTTCTTTTGAGACTTCTCCGCTCAGATCAATACCTCATTGTTAAGTTGATTTATTTGTTTTTGTGACTTTGTTTTTTAAGTTCTTCGTATATTCTGGATAATAACGTCCTTCTGTGAGATTTCAACTAAACAGAGTCAGAATGGCTAAAATCCAGAATACAACTAACAACAAATGCTGGCAAGGATAAAGGGAAAGAATAACCTATATTTACTGTTGGTGGGACGGCAGGCTGGTACAACAACTCTGGAAATCAATGTGAAGAATCCTCAAAGGATAAAAATAAATCTATCATATGCTAACCTATACCATTCCTTGGTAAATATCCACAAGACTGATATTCAACTTCAGAGACAGATACTTCCTCAGCTATGTTCATTGTTATTCTGTTCACAATTCCTAAGAAATAGAGACAACCTAAATGTCCTTCAACTGATTAACAGATTATGAAATGTGGCACACAGTGGGATTCTATTCAGCTGTAAAGATAAATTAAAATAAAAATTATGAAAATTTCAGATAAGTGAATAGCACTAGAAAATATTATACTAAATGAGGTACTCCAGAACCAGAAGACAAGTGCCTCATGTTCTCTCTCATTTCCATGTCCTAGCTTACATTACCTCAATTAACCACACACACACACACACACACACACACACACACACACACACACACAC